GGTCAGGTAGTTTATACATGTAATATGTATTGATTTTGATATTACAGATAGTAACATAAATTTTGAGTTCAAACTAGCTTGGTGTTTTTTTTCTTTTTCCCTCACAAAAATCTTTAGAATCAGTCTTAAGAGAATTAACCCACACTCTCAAGGCATCACATAAGTTATAAGAAACTAATATGCAACTAAAAGCTAACTAATATGCAGTGTCCCAATTCATTTATACATTGAATATCAGAAACAAAGATAACATATTTTCTTAACTTGTTAAAAGTAATCTTTTGCAGCGAAATAACATACTTTAATTCAAAATTTATCAAATGAGAGTTTCTTTCCTCAATAAATGAACAAATCAACTGTACAATGTTATCTCAGGCCACTTTCCTTGTGTAATAACAAGTCTCTGAAACCACAGGTGTTAGAAGGACAAAAAGAAAAAAGAACAAGAAATATAAACCTATACCTACAGGTAAACAGCTAAATAAGATATTGCTTTCAACATACAACTGATCTTACAAAAAGTAAAAAGAGAGGAGAAAAAGGTATAATGAGGGATTGAGAAAAAGGGGAGAGGAAAGGGTTTCCGGCTTCCTTGATCATCACGCTTCACTGCTTACCAATAAAAGTGAAGAGATTTTGAGCAGGATACCACGAAGACGAGCAAAACTTGGTATATACATCTTATTGTATCACAGGTCTACTTCATGAAGGTCATCACCAAAACTACCACCATTCATTGAGTGCATCGAATTAGTATCACTAGGCATGAATGATGACGGAGGCATACTCAATCTACTGCCCGGTGGTTTTACTTCAGATTTATTAGGGGAGTAAGCATCAGGAAAGCTTCCACTCCATGATGCAGTTCGGCGGGAGTAAGATGATAGAGAGCCGGTGCCAGTTCCTTTATTTGAGAGGTTGTCCATGCTTGCAAATCTTTGCATAGGCGCGCTCGATGTAGGTGCATGAAACTGGAAGGATCCACTAACAGTAGTGACTGAATCATTCTCGCTATTACTTGAAGTTTCTTGCTCATTGGAAGTATTGTTCCCCGTCTCTTCAACAGGAGACATTGGGGTGGGAACAAAAAACTTGGCATTGCCAGCAGTAGCAGGCTTTATGGAAGGAACAGAAGGTGACTGGAAAAGATTTGTTGGATTACCACCACCCTTGTTGAATGTGTCAACATACCTGCCAAAAGAAGGAAGAGAAGCCAGTCAGGTTTCTCTGTTGAAACCTTTGAAAGAAGTCCTTCTGCATCATTTTCAGTGATAAGGATTAATTCGTATGTTTTCAAATGAGCATGTCAACTCAATTTGATCATGGCGCCACCATAACTAATAGACAGAAGAAACAAATGCTCGATAGTATCTTTTGGATCAATGTCTTATCAGGTGGATGTATATTACACTAAAAATGTTAGTTTGATGCATAGGGCTTATCAAGTATATTCTTAACAATTAAACATCCTATTTCAGAATCAGACCAAGAAAACAAACAAGGGCTGTTGTGCCTTAAGCCACCAAAGGTTCAAACATACCATCTAAAGATAATTAATAAGTCAATATCACTTGCCTTGACCGAACACCCACACGACTACGAGCCGAGAATTGGTTGGAGGTAGGTGGAAGAGGTGGGATTCCCGAACCATTATCAGCAGAAGTTGGACTCTTCATTTCCAGAAATCCATTGTTGCATATAGAACTCTCACTTTTTAATACACTCTTCAAGTTATAATCTAGTGCTCCATTCTGGAAAACTGCAGTGGTTGGTGGAGGTGCAAGGGCCGGTTCCTCAGCAGGAAGTTCAGCCCCTTCCTCTACCCATCTTTTAAGTTTTTCATCATAATAAAATTTATTCGTTTCACCCAATTTTGCCTGCAAGGAATCAAGACAAATGGAAACAAGTCTCGACATCAAACTTTATGAGGACCACAATCTAGAAAATGACAGCGGAGAAAAATAAATAATCTACCTGACGGCCTTGACGGGGTTTGAGGACTAATCCAACAGTTTTCTGGAGAAGCTGGGAGCCAAAGCTAAAGCGACGAAAGCGTGATGTCCCTCCAGCTCCTGATGCATTGCTTCCTGTGTTACTTGAGCTTGCTTCCTTTGACGAGTCAACGTGATCCTACACAAATACATAACAAACTATCTTTTCAAACCAGATCAGATAGATCCAGTCAAATGTAATATTTACAGAGAAACAGGATAAGACACCTGTCTTGGAGTTCTTCCAATGTCAGGCTCTGAAACACTTCTACTGTGCATTGACATTCTACCGCTATCTGTTGCCCATTCACTTATTGGCTCCATAGATGCTGAGGGCATCAGTGATGACATTGCCATGGTTTACTGACTACTTGAAACTCTAGACCCCGCAAACTGATGATGTTGTTCATTCCCTTGTAAACTGCCACTTGTTGGCATTGGTGGTGGTAAGCCCCCAACAACACGATGAGCCGTGCTATCAAAAAGGTTAAGCAATTTACCAACCAATTTTCCAGGAGCCAAATTTGTGGAGAACCCTCCCTGAATGTGCAGAAAGTTCCACCATAAGCAACTCTGAGATAATCATTCAACATAGATGAGAGGATAAAGAGGTACCTGTTGGTGAGTTTTAATCCTTTCCTCAAGAGATGACACTAACTGTCTCAATGTTTCCGTCTCAGGGGTTCGGCCAGTTTTAAGTGATTTCGACAATGCTTGACAGTACCTAAAATTAAAAATGTTAAGCAACTAGTTGAAAGGATTTCAAAGAACTCTGCTGAACATAAAACTAGGATACATACTTTAATGCGTCTGATATCCTCCCAACTTCAGCTAACATGTGTGCATACAGAAGTTTATATGGTTGAAAAGGAAGGAGAATAAATTGAGAATTCCCCAGCACCTTCGAGTATTCATAAATCTCAGTCCTCTGTCCATACAAATATTTGATCAGTCAAGCGACAAACCCGTGTTAGCCAAGTAGCACATACAGTTATATGAGTGCATATGCTAGCTGTGGCACAAGATGTTTCACATTTCATCGTATGACTAGAAAATGCACAAAAAATAGAGTCAGCAGCACCTGAATAGCCTCAGGACTAGCATAAGTTCGGGGAAATTTCAAGTGATCCGCACCCACAAGACACAATCTCGCTGTATCTAAATATGGTTCAAAGTTTGCTTCGGCCACTAGATAGCAAATGTGTGCAGCAACAATCTAGATCATTGTTTTTTGAAAAGGAAAATATATGTAAGAAGCAGACAATAAAGTTAAGGTGGAAGGTAATCCACTGAAGAGAGTAATATAAGAAAAAGCAAGGCATAAGGCTTACATCACTCCTCTCTCTCCACAAACAATCACCAAGATGAATAAGCACCAGTTCGTCATCCTTCGTTCTGTTTGCAGTGATCACAGCCAAATTCTCTTCCCAGTCATCCAGCATGACATTAGCACCAAACTAGCATAAAGAGAAGAAATCAAAATAAGGTAATAATCCAGACAAAGTGTTAACCTTAGATCTTCAACAAGCAATAAACTAGGGAAGGAAACAGCAGAAAGTAAATTCCCCCAGAAACGGGAAAACAAGAGAAAGTGATGCACTTACTATCTACGGCGTCACGTAATAAACGACCAAAAGCAATATGCCAAGACATAAAAAGATGAACTTCAAACAACATTCACAAACAATCATAATGGTTAAGGGTGACTATTGAATCCTATGTGGGCATCATTAAGGTTCTGCACATCTGACAGAACAACGCCCCCCACCTAACTTATCATCACAGTCCTGCATATCTGACGGAACAGTGCCCACACCAAACCCCTTTTTTTGGGGCCAACTTGCGTGCACCTCGACTATTCCACCGGGTACCTACTACCTCCCAGAACAGGAATCAAGTAACTTTACGCACCAAGGCTTAGGCAGATGGGACGAGATTACCCATTGTTTTTTTGTCTCTATGCTCTGCTAGGATTTGAACCCTAGTGCCCACACCTAAAATCCCCAACCAAAAAAAGTCCTTGGACTTCAAAAGTGCAGGCGTTATTGAAATTCCAAATATCAAAATACACATAGCTACGTTCCATTTTCAGTTTTTTCCCACTATTAACCTTTACGTAGACACTAAAATGTCTTCTGAACTTTTTTCAAAACTTTAATAGCCAAAGAATAATTATGACACTATGTTTATAAATGCACTGCATGTTATAGTAACGATATACTCTATTAGAGTGAAGAACTCCTTTAATTGCTCCATTCCAGGGGCTTAGGCAAATCATAAAGAACGAGATCAAAGGGAAAAGGCAGCAAATAAGCTAATGAACAACTGGTTGTAACAAGTTATGAAAACAAAACCTGTGTAGGCTGCTGAGCCACATTTACAGCAGGCATGCCACTTTGAACTGTAGAATCTACAGTAAAGACATCAGCCGGTTGACCTGCAATTAATAGGCATAGTGTCCGCAAAGGAGACCCTGCTACTAACTGTCGAAGTGCCATTTGCTTCACCGTTTCTCCATAGAACTACAATTACCCATGAAGTCAAAGTATATTACTAGAAAGATACACACACACATATAGAGAGAGAGGGATAAGGGTAGTCGCTAAAGGCCCACTGAGAACCAGACAAACCTGTTCACCAAGTTGTGCAGCGAGAACAAGAGCTGGCCCCCACAACTGACCCTCTTGTGCAACTTGTAATGCTTCTTTCTTTCTTCCAGAAACTAGAAGAATTTGAACCTCAGCAGCAGTAGCCTAAAGCACGTACTGAAAACAGTTGGCTGATCTAGCAAATAATTAAAATAGCAACTGAAGAACAGAAAGTATAAAAGAACTACCCGCATCTGTCCTTCAGAAGGCAATTGCTGCAAGCACTGGGAAACAGCGCCATATTGATTGAATTGCATCCCATTCCTCTTCACAGATGCAAACAATTTTGCTACCGCTGTTTCTGGAGCATCGCTTTCCTGTTAAAATGGAAGAACCAAGTTAGAAACTGCTACTGAGTTTGTTGATTTTGGTGAAAATACAATTAGACAGGAGCTATTTTACATGCTATCAGGCTAGATGGTTTTCCAAGTTGAAAATTTTAAAAGACATTAAAAAAAAGGAAAATGTTCCTTCATATACTTTGTTTTGACGAGATTAAAATGGAATGAGAAAAAGCAGGTTTAGCAAACTTCGCCAATTTTAACCAAGTATTGAAGAACATATGTAAATTTCATCAAAACTACAACAAGCTAGTTCACAACTTCAATACTGTTTCCTAGTTAGTATAAGCTATTACACTGCTATGGGCTATGGAGTTAATTTCTAACAAAAGATTTCTTCAAATGACAATGGCATGTTCTTCTGCAGTGAAAATCATCAAAGAGAACACAAGATAAAGAAAAAGAAACACTTCTTCCCAAAGTCCTCCAGCCACTCTTTGAGCAGCCGCTCTTTGAGATAAAGAGTGATATAGACAATGGAGACAAAGTAATCAAGACTTTTCAGTTTCTTCTCTCTTCGTTAGCTCTCTGTGCTATTTTACGAGGCATAGTTTAGCTGGACACGGAGTTTAAGAAACAAAAGAAAGACTTTTGAAACTTGTGGTCGAAAACAAACCATAAACATTTGTGTGGCTATATATCATCTCATTAAGGGTGAAATGGATAAGCTTAAAGTCAAATGGCTTCTAAAGATAGAAAGGGGTCATTCCTTCTCAAATATAGAAAGGGGCCATTCTTTTTGTAACAACTTAAAAAGGAAAGTGTGCCACATAAATGAACAGAGGGGAGTAGTGCCATTGCTACCGCTATTATTTTTTTATTTAATTAGCAATCAACATCCATTACTGGATTTTTCTTTCTTGTTTCCTACCTAATGTTTTCATCATTTAGGGAAGAGAAGCCAGTCGAATTCCTCGAACTTGGGGGAGGTGCACCCAGCCCATAGTTGATCAAGTAAAAATCAAAATATAGAGAAAGATTTATCTAGAAAGCCAAAGGTTATGTTAGATGCAAAACATGTAAAAAGAAGCATGAGAAACTATCTAGTAAGTATGTGCTGATACCATAAGTTCTCAAATTGAATGAACTTTGACCACTAAAGGCAACCAAGTATTTCAGTTGACAAAGATGACATTTTATTCTGTAAACCCAACTAAAGCAACTCCAGATTAGATGGGATATCAAGGGCATTAAAAGTGAAAGGAGTTAGAACTAAGATATGCCTATTTAGGTAACAAAAATGAAAAATGATAAGCAATGGAATAAAACTTAACTTAGTTGGACCAGAGCTCAATTTCAACAGACAGTTCGTTTTGACAGGTTGAAACAAATAGTCAATAACTAAATACAGGCATGTTATTCCAACAAATTTTCAAACTTTACCTTTAACACAGCCTCAGTACCAAAAGGAGAACGAAGTTTCCCATAATACTGACATGCTATTTTTAGCAATGACAGAAGCAACCTCAAAACTTCGCCTTTCCTGTAATCCATGTCAGGAGATTCAGAGTTTGCAATCCTCTCATCAATCCATTTATTAAACTCCTTGGTACTGGGACTTCCACCAACTAGTGGACCAGGGAATAATTGCCGGCACAGAGTTCGGGTATACTCACATGCCCCCATCGCAAGGCTTGAAGTGTCAACTCTCTCAGAGACAACATCCATCAAGTTGAGTACAGATATTGAACCTCCTACAGGATTCTTTACCCACCATGCAAAAATACTTTCAATAATTAGTAAGAGTACTGCACCGCAAAATATTGAGAAAAGACAAAATAAAGAAACAATGATACAAACCTGACTTCCAAAAGATTGGTTTCCAAAGGAACTATTATCTTTCATCACAATCAGTTTTCCACCAAAACCAAAAGTGACTAAAGCATGTGGTGGACGGCCAGCAGATGACCTTCCTGCAGCAAGAGCATGAGAAAACTGCTGGCTGCTCTGAAATGCTTGCTGGGAATAATTGGCTGTGGTTTGACTCCCGTAATAATCACTAGAGGCATGCTTTTGCTCATGTTGCTGAAGTGTTGGCTGACTAAGTTGCTGACCAAAACCCCCACCAGAGAAAAAGCCTTGGTTACCTTGACTTTGAATTGCTTTTGCATTGTATGGAACTGTTCCCTCATAATGATTAGACATTTGCCTATTAACATCGCTGCTTGTAGAAAATTCTTGGTTGTAGTGATTCTCTAATTGCTGGCTCCCCCTATACTCTGATACATGGTAACTCTTTGCAACATTTTCATTTTGCGACAAATTTGAGCTATTCTGATTGTAATTACCAAAAGAGCCGGACCAGTTGTAATCTCCTCCTCCACTGCTAAACCCTTGGAATCCACTATTCTCTTTGTGCCCGTAATTCCTTTGATCATCATTGTGAGAGAAAGTCTGCTGCGAAGCCAAACCAGTCTGATCCAGCTGGCCCTCACCTTGAACAGTCGATTGAGCAGACGATGTGTAGCTCTCTAGAGAGCGCCATTCAAGCGCAATCGTATCGTAATACCAACCAGGGTACTGAGGATCAAAAACCATATGCGATGGATACCCATTGTTGATTTGTGAGGCCTGATTCCAGTCAGTCGTGAAACCACCTGCATCACTAGCCAGTGACACCTGATTCCAGTCAGTCACAACCCCGCCATTGTCAATCGTCTGTGAAGCCTGATTCCAGTTTTCCACGTTCTCAGTAGCATTGCTTAGCTGGGAAACCTGATTCCAATTAGTGACACTCTCAGTCGTAACACTCTCGGCCGCATTACCAGAAACAGACTGAGCAGCTTGCTGTAGGTACGAGACCTTCGGTGTTCCATCAGAAACTGCCCAATCAGAAACCAAATTAGAATCAGTACTCCCTTGTGCATTAGCACCTGAATCAATACTATCAACCTGATACCACTGCCCGGTGTTTGCATCATACTTCCATCCCGGATAAAGATCTTCCCAGTATTGACTACTGTTTAGATCATGTCCATCTGCAACTTGTCCTGTGGTAGCATCATAGCCGTAACCATCTTGACCCTGTGTTAACGAACTGCTAGTATTATCCAAATACGACGTTTCATGAACTTGTTTCGTGTCATGAACTTGATCGGCTGGCACAACAGTTGACCTCTTATTCACATTCTCCTCAACATTTCCAATTACATCACCATCATTAGTATCCCCCAATTCACTGAAAAAGTCCATGTATGATCCAAACCCAGAATTATCGCCATTCGTAACTGGATCAGCATGAAACGCACTCCATCCAACCTCCTTCACACCCGAGTTTCCTGATCCACCGGTGTGATTCTCCATCTTATCAGCCGTTACCTCAGTCTCCATATTACCATTGCTCGACTCGAGTAAACCATCCGACCCCCCAGAAGCCAATGACACTAAAGAACCACTACTCTTCTTCTCTCCATTCCCCTCAACAATTAACGCTGTTTTAGCATTGCAATTAACACCTTTATCACTGCTTATAGTATCAACTCCACTATTGCCATCATCACTGATACTGAGATTAGCAAAGGCTTTAACCTCATCAGATCCATTCCCATCGACGTAGACCTGGCTCGCGTCCAAGCCCAATCCTGGTTCTGCTGACGATGTAGTTGCCTGAAAACCACTACTCTTCTCCCTTATATTATCAGCTCTAGTACTGGTATCATCACTGATACTGAGATTAGAAAATGCTTTAACCTCATCAGAGTCAATCCCATGGACGTACACCGGGCTCGAGCTCATGCCCAAGCCCGGGCCCGGTGTAGTTACATTAAAACCAACATCATCGTCATCATCATTGACCAATTTATCGAAGAAATCCTCATCCGTCTGATCCTCCAGTAGAAATGGAGGATTCGAAGCCATCAATTTTACTCAATAAAAAATCCTAACCCTAACAAAATTGGCTTACAAAATTCTCTAAATTCAACTTCAAAATCGAGCTAACAAGTATCAGATCCGACCTCAAAACTTCAATTATTTACGAAAAAACACTACCCGGAAAGATCTAGGGTTTTCATTTAATCTCAACAACCTCAAAAATCACCAAAATCAAACCCAAAAAAACACCGAAAATTGTGAAATTGTGGAAATTGCCGACTCAATTCAAAGGATTAGAGTGATAAAACAAGAGAAAATTCATGTATGAAGTAATTAATTAACTTACAGATCGAAGAAGAAACAATTGTCTGAGCAAATCTGACGGATATATATACGTGTGTGCGTCTGCGTTTTATGTGTGTATTGTTTGTTGTTCTACATAGAAACAGAGAGAAAGCAAGCCCTCATTTTCGCACGTTGGTCTCAACTCTTTAAATATTTATACGTAATTATATTTCGACTTATAGTATATGTTAGCATTTTATTTTCTCCGACTCGATTAATTCATATTTGTACTGCGCAACGCTTATTAAAGAAAAAATGCTCGTTATAAAAATGTTCATACTTAGGGCCCGAACATAAAATCTATTAAGGATAAATAAATTATATTCATCACACTACAACCTGTAACATAGTTTCTCATCTTGTCCCTAATTACATGTTCTTATAAGGATTCTCATTATTTTCTATTTTACGTAGCATTATGGAAATTTGACAAAATTAAATTATGTCTATGTTATGACTTTTTCTTGATCATTTTTACACATTTTTATTTGTAATACCTTTAACCTATTATTTTACAAAAAAGTAAATTTTATTTTGGTAAAGCCGTACAACACTTTGACTTATATGATCTGAGTCGCATTAATATTTTTGGAACCTACTTAAAAAATTCTCTCTTTAATAAATTTTGTATTCAATTAACTCATATCATATAACTGAAACAAAGTTGTCAATAGGTGAATTATATGTAAAATTTATATTCACTGCGATAAAAATATGGGTTAGGATGAATTTAGGCGGGATATGGTAATAAAATAAAAGTAATCTTACGTGGATAAAAAACTGTTTGCAAAATTTGCCGCCAGCCAGCAGTAAGTAAGGAGTATCAAAAAAGGACGGGTAAGTATTTGACTTAGCTTGTTGCAACATAATAATAATAATAATAATAATAATAATAATAATAATAATATTATATTATATTATAAGTGTGAAGCCCTTGAAGTAAAAGGTGAAAGACCAAAATAGCCATCAAAAGTTTGAACGACTATTTTGCCCTTTGACAAGCATTATTTCAAGAAGTTTTTTTGTATAAAATGTAAATAGACATTCCAAGTTATCTTTTTTATATTTTTTTAATTTCCTCTCATATGTACAATTAATGCTCTTTTAATTTGAAGGGGACGTTGAGAAGACAAAAGTTGTTGTAGACCGTCTGAAGAATTTAAAGAGTTGTAGAGAATAATTAGTAGCCTGATTCATTTGAAAAACTCTCAATAAAGGATGAGAGTAATCTACTAATTAAATGTCTATACATTATGAAAAATCTGGATACAAATGACTTATTCAAGCTCTGGAATTCTGAGAGCTTTTATCTATAGTTAACAGTTTGGAGTGCTTATTCATCTGTATATTTTATCATATGTTTTACTATATTCTTATTACCTTTCTTTCATTTAATTTCCTTTAAGTTCTTGCATAAAGTTTAAGTTACAATTCCACAACTTAATTGTCTTTCCCATATTTACATAAAATTTTATAGAAATTTTGTTACAAAAGAGTGATTTTGATGATTGCCTAGGGAAGAAATGTTGAGACGTAATGGCACTTTTCTCCCGTTGAAATACTGCTCTTAACTTTTTTCTCCTCTCAGAAAAGATGGCATATGCGGCCAGGGGCATATGTAGGAATTTTTGTAAGCGGTGTCGAAATTTATAAAAGAACCGGAATGTTACTTTGATTATCATACTTTTAGACAAGAAATAACCTTAGTTTATTGGTTTTGTTGAGTCTTAAGTTAAAAAAGATTTTGAATTCAATTCTACTTCATCACAATTTTTAACTACAAAGGCTCTCTCAAATATTTACAAAAGAAAAATGTGCTAGTTGAGGTTTGAACCTAGGGCTGTATTCTGGGCCGGGGCCGGGCCTTCGTGGGCCAAACGGGCCGGGCTTCGTGGGCCTGGGCTCTGACGGTCCCGGGCTTCGTGGGCTCAATGGGTGGAACCGGCACGTGACGGGCCTAAGCCCATATGGTCCTGGGCTAAACGGGCAGGGCTCGTGAGCTTTGCGGGCCTAGCGANGGAAGGGTAGTTGGTTGACCACTACTTTCACCGGTTTTATCTTTTCCTTTACCAAACATTTTTTCAAAGAAAAATGTCATATTAATTATAATTATGCAAACTATACCACACAAAAATATATTCTTAAAACGTAAAAGTTGAAACGAGTTTACCGGATTGCCGAACAACTTCTTGAAAAATTGAAAATCGTTGAACACTTGAAACTTCAATTCAACAACTTCACAATTTTTCACGAAATTTCAACAATAAATTAAGTAATTGTAGTAGAGAGATTGAGAGAGATTGATGAATTGGTGAATAAAAATGAAAGAATGAGGGGGTATGTTGAGAAATAGGAAAAAGTGTAATTATATAAAGTTTGGGGGCCAAATGGCCATTTTCTAAACTTAAAAATGGTCAAATTGTCAGCCCAAATGGCTAGATTTTAAATATGGCCGTTGGAGAATTTTAAAAACAATTTTTTAAAAAAAAAAAATAGCCGTTGGGCCCGTTAGGCCCGCCAAGCCCGCCAGGACCGGCCTAGGACCGGCTGACGGTCCCGGGCAAAACGGTCCCGGGCTCGTGGGCTAATATATGAAGACCGGCCTGTCACGGGCTTCTCAGGACCACCAGGACCGGCCCACCAAGCCCGTTAGGCCCGTTAGGACCACGGGCCCGGTCCGGTTCAGGCCCGGCCCACCAAGCAGCATTATTTGAACTTTTGACCTCTTAGAGCAAAATCAAGCACAAAACCAACACACTAAGGCACAATTTATGTCAAGTGGTGTCATCTTTTCTTACTTATTCGTTTCTGTACAGTATTAATACATATATTTAATAAAATTTTCTGACAAAGCGGTGTCGCATGACACCGCGTGAGGAAGCGTGCATCCGCCCCTGTATGCAGCAACGAAGCCAACCAACAAGCTTGGGGTTAAGAAGCCACAGGCGCATAATCACAACAGTAAAATCACTCTTTCCTCCTAAAATGTTAAGATGATGGTATTGAAGTTGAGGTTACTGTCTGTCATTAGATTCATTTTCCTTACATAAATTAATTACTAAAATGCAGACATGTTATATATATTGACTTTTTGGAATTACTCTTTCAAATTTGTAGCTAAAAAAGTGTTCTCTATTTATAGTTTAGTGTCTTTATATGTATAATAATAATGTTTAGGCTTTTGTGTTTTAAAGTAATATTGATTTTGAAAACTTCGATACAACTCATATTTTATCATCTAAATCTATGTATAAATAATAAAAACTTAAGATTTTTCAAAATACAATATTACATACAATTTTGTAAGTAATACTTACTACCAAATTTAAGATTTTGTTTGAATGAATATTGTAAGATTTCGATTTCTTCATCAATTTTTTATTTTTAAGTGAGAAAGAAATACAAAATTGTTTAGCAGAAAATCACAAAGGCTGAAAAATGTGCCTTGTAAGGACTTCAAAGTGTTAAAGTGCTACAAAAGGTGTGAACTTCCAAATTTTCTTTAGGAGCATTTCCATGGGCTTAAATATATTTTAGATAGTAATTTCATTTAACACTCTCGTAGAACACTATAAATTTAACTTCTATGATTGTATAGAGTATCCATGGAATATGAAATAGTATAATCGTTATTTTACCACATTTGCACACGATGTGTCAAATATTTGTAAATTCATTTTCGTTTTGGATATATTTGTAGATCCATCTTCATTTTAAACTGGCTCTAAATAATATATTCGTTTTACTGTAGTCATCGGAATTTTTACTATCTTAGTTGTTTTCAATAATTAAAAAACAAAATATTACATTGCAATTATGATGCTGAAGTTTCTATACTACATGATATGTACATTAAAATAGAAGGAAAAAAAAAAAGATGACACATGCATATTTAGGAAAGAGCAAATAACCTTATTAATGCTAACTTCTTGCATCTCTCTTAGATTTTACTTTACATTTCAATCAAATGTTTTTAAAATATATGTGCGTAAATTTGAACTATTTTTTAACATATATTATATAAAATTGATGGAATACACGTGCAAAGCACGTGTTCAAAAACTAGTAATAATAATAATACACTCAATGTATTTTCATAAGTGGAATCTGGGAAGGATAATATGTACGTAGACTTTCAGAGGCAAAGCTAGGATTTGAAGCTTGTGGGTTCAAGCTTTTAGTCTTTTTAAGTTACTGGGTTCTAAATTAATAATTTGTACATAGTTAATGAATTTTTTAAGACAAATACATGAAATGGATCAAGTGACAGGGTTCGGCCGAACCCATACTCGATAGGCTAGCTCCGCCCCTGCAGACCTTTACCTTGTGAAAGTAGAGAAATTATTTCAGGTAAACCTTCGACTCAAGGAAAGCATAATCATAGAAGTAATGACCAAGAACTACAAAATGAGAAGCACTAACAGCAACCAGAAAAATAATAGAATCGAAGCAAATGAAACAACGAGTAGTAAAGGAGATCTAAAGATTAAGAAATACAAGAATAATACTAGGAAAATACAGGTTTGAAAAAGAAAAATGTCTGGCTACTCACTAACCTACTACCCTAATCGTCGACCTCCACACCTTTCTATCAAGGTGTGATGACCCAAAATGTCATTTTTAAATTAAATAATTATCTCAGTATTTTAAGACCTTGAAAAGCGCTATCAATAATTCTTCGACTTGCGTGCACAGTCCGTATAATTTTCCGAAAGGTTTTTGTATGAAAAATAGATTAAATTATGAATTAGAGCTTTAAAACTACACTGAGTTGACTTCGGTAAAAATTTTGGGCAAACGAACCCGGATCCAAATTTTGACCACTACAGTAGTTCCGTATAATGATTTGGGACTTGGGCATACGCCCGAAATTGAATTCGGAAGTCCATAGATCAAATTATCGCCATTTAACGGAATCTAGAAATCTAAGGCTAAAGACTTCTTAAGTTTGAACGGAGATTTGACTTTTGAGCAAACGACCCCGGAATGGAATTTTGATGATTCCAATAGTATCATATGGTGATTTTGGACTTAGGAGCATGTTTGGATTTGGATTTGGAAGTCCGTAGGACAATTCGGCGCATTTTGGCGAAAGTTGGAAAATAGAAGATTTTTGGAAAAGTTTGACCAAGAGTTGA